GAGATATTTGGGGGAAAACCCTCCGTGATATTCATAAAGTTTAGCGTATCTAACTGTTGCTTTTTATTGAAATTGGGTTTGACAATTTTTCTATGGGGATGTCACCAAAAGGATATGATCGTTTTTCCTGAAGTGATCAACAATTTCATCAAACATAGTTAAAACAATTCGAAAACTGGGTTTCTCTAGATTATTCAACCGCAAGGTTGATGCCAATGAGATCAAAAATCATCAGATCCTTGTACATTTATGAAATGTTTAAGGATTGGTGTTTTCATATTTTTGAAACAAAATGTTTCACATAACCTTGTTTATCATACGAAATTACATACCGATTAGTTTTCAGAAATAGTTTGGATATTTAACAGAAATAACTTATAGCCTACCATTTGGACAGTGAGGACAGCATTGCCCTGGTACGTTTAAAGAATCAACACAGGGCGTCCAGAAACAATCCATTATCATTTCGTAGGCTTCTAAATTATATTCATCACAATAGCAACCACGACAATCTGTTATCCAAACAGTTTCTCCGGGGGGTATTTTAGTTCCATCAGAACATGTACACATAGCTGGTGTTGTTGTAGGTGGTGGTGTTGTAATTTGTACACATGATGCTCGTGGTTCTCCGTAATAATTCTGATGTTCACATTGACATTGAACTGCACCAAAATCAACTACACCATCACTGACAGAAATAACTTCACTTCTTTTTTTGCCATTAAAATCTGTAAATTCAGCTCGACAATTTTCACCTAATAGAGAAAACGCATAGGTGTTACGATTCTTTTGTCTTCAACACCCGGTCAGACTATATAGGATTTAGTATTAAAAGTGACAATAAAGGAAGACTTTAAGTTTTTATGGCACTAAAAGCTAGGGAGTCAAGTACTACAAACAGATATTTCTCAAAAAATAATATATTAGCCTTGAGAAAAACATTCGCCCAATGTAAATTTCATGAAGGTACCCTCTACAAGAGCTATGTTAGAAGAAAAGAAGGATCTAAAATTCCTTAATTTTTACAAACCTTTTAGATACTTTGTCAATCGAAAACGAGTAAATCAATATCACAATATATTTCTAAAGAGATTGTACAGATGTGTTCTGTGTGATATTTTTGTTTTTCGAGGAAAATGATAGCATCAATTTGTATCATTCAATTTTTCAGTTAAACGTCTCTGGTTCCGCAATTCCACTTAAACGAAGTGTTTGATAACGTCAGTCGTCACGAAGAACCTTATGTGATAAATAATATTGTATTATCATCAAACACTCAGTTTGAGTGAAATTGCAGGAATCACAGACGTCTGATTGAAACTTACCATTTGGACAGTTGGCACAACATTGTCCTGGAATTTTTACAGAATCAACACATGGGACTATAAAACAGTCAGCTATCATTTCTTGGGCTTGTAAACTATTTTCATCACAGTAACAACTATGGCAGTCTGATATTGAATGTGTTCCTCCAGGTGGTACTTGAGTACCATCAGAACATGTACACATAGCTGGTGTTGTAGTAGGTGGTGATGTAGTGGAAGGTGTTGTAGTAGGTGGTGGTGGTGTTGTTGAAATTTGTACACATGATGCTCGTGGTTCTCCGTAATAATTCTGATGGTCACATTGACATTGAACTACACCAAAATCAACTACCCCGTCACTGACAGAAATAACTTCACTTCGTGCTGTGCCGTTAAAATCTATAAATTCAGCTCGACAGTTCTCTCCTGAAAGAAAGAAAGGATTGATCAAAATAACAAACAGTTGTAATGAAAGTAAAAGATCTTTTTAATAAAGGTTGTCATTAACTGGACACTGCACATTGGTCTATTATTGATTAAAAGAGCTTTATGTAGCTTGAATTCCATTTTGAAAAAAATAGAAGAAGTTCATTAAGCAAGTTTATTGATGAACTTCAGTGATTGATTCAGATACTGGGTCTGGATCGGCATGGTTCCTCTGGCATTTCAACCTGGATTCTGCTAGTTCATCTCGATTCCCGTCTGTCAGTCAGTGATGCAGGTAAGGGGGACTGACAAGGAAAAAGCACATAGTCGTTCGGATGGGACAATAAGCCGAGGACCCGTGTGCTACAGGCTGTCCAACTCGGCAGTTGGAAATCGAAAAAGAGCAGGCTAACGCCGCTGTCCTGCATGGAGTTGCCCACAGAGTGCAGAAAAATAGGACAATCATTTCATTTTTGATTCTGCTAGTAGGAGAGACTGGGAATGAAAAATGTATTTTTATCCACCGCCAGATGAGCACGATAGAGACACTATAAGAAAAACTGGGTATGTTCAAGTGAACGATTCCCTAAGTGAAAACCTTATCAGCCCAATAAAACGAAGAAAGGTGGGATCAAACTTGCAAAGATATATCATTACACTCACCATTTGGACAGTGTGGACAGCATTGACCGGAAATATCTATGGAATCAACACATGGTGTTATAAAACAATCAGCTATTATTTCTTGTGCTTCTAAACTATATTCATCACAAGTACACCCGTGGCAGGCTGTTATCCAAACGGTTTCTCCAGGTGGTACTTGTGTTCCATCAGAACATATACATATAGCTGGTGTTGTCATGGTTGTTGGTACAAATGATGTTGTAGTTGGTAGTGGTGGTGTTGTTGGTGCTGATGGTGTTGTAGTTGGTGGTGGCATGCAAAATGCAAGCCATGGTGTTACGGCCAATAATACTAGAGAAAACATCGTGAACTTCGATATCCTCTGAAGTGCCAATCGCCTTTACGTTTCTTAGAAAAATCCTTCGTTTTTATAACTTGGTGTGATAGAAATAGAAACATACGCCAACATGAGACTAAGAAAATACACGTGGCACATTTTTGTTTGATTTTAAATGCCTAGAGAGGTACGTCACTCCTACAAGCCAATTGGCTTGTCATTGGTGTCATCCATATAAACATATAAGTATTATAGATATATGAATAAAAGTTGGTGAATGACATGTTTGTCCTTTGATATACTAAATGATTTTTATAATGTCACTATCATATGGTACATACCAATCAAAATATAGAGAACAAACGTCAAAGTCGTGAAGAATATTGACTTTTAGTCAGACAAAAGATACTGGTCATTATAAGTTTTCAGAAGAGTTACCATAAACGTTTGACACATGTCCAAATAGACATGCCGTTATTGTACCTGCCGACAAAACATTAACATTTTAGTGTCGAAAACATTTCAGAGTAAAAATATTATCATCACTATAGACGTCAGATTATATTAAGGTCGTATGCAGCGCTCGTACGTAACCTGAACTTTGACTTCAGTTGAATTTCGAGTATGCATCACTCAAACTTACAGGTTCTTTCAAAATCAAAGCTCTGTTAAAGTTACCTTAGTTGGCGACTTTAGCTAAACTTTACTGGATTTATACACGAGTAGAGAATTATTTAGATCAATTATGCCGTTTAATAGACCTTCACCAACATGCAGTTTATTCACATAACTAGTAAAGATCGCTCTAATTCATTGGAATGTATAGATGATACCAAATTAAGTATGAAGAGGTTAAAAGTCAGGTGTAGTGGAGATCATTATACACCAACGCTTCGGTAAGATTATTCATATTCGATCTGTGTTATGGCTTTTATAACTAATAATGAGCATCCGCATCCGCCTACCGACACATAACTGTCAAAATTATATATCAATGGCAATAGTTAGCCACAGACCGGGTGTTATATAATTTCAAACTGAGAATGGAAATAACCCTAGTTCGACATAATATCGTAGCAAGATGACCTGGGGCAACACGCAACATCAATGTCATTTCGCTCAAATTGAAGGTGAAGTTGGCGGCTTAATTATCCTAAAGATTAGTAAACCTAGTGTCAGAGGCAAAATTTGCAGATATATATTTCGCCTACTTATTTTTATTCAGTTACTTTTCGCCTGTAATTTATGTCGTTTTAATAATGAACATTTTGCATAAATAATCAGACTGTCCTTCGTGATTTCCGGTACATCAATGGTCATAAGTGCTATACGATTCTTCATAGTAAAGAGATGCAAATGAAGATAACTGATGAAGTGCCCCATCATGATTAACCAGACTTAATTGAATGTCCAAATTGTTACAACGCCTACCGTTTTGCCCTCTCATACTTTTCAAGGACAACTTATTTAATAAATAAAGTTTTATTATTATTATTATTACTGACTTCACCATTGGATAGTTCCACCAGTATTATTTTCATTTATTAGAATCCTCTGTGTTGAATCCGAGCATTGCACAAAAATACCTTCTCGATTTCTGTCTAAGATGAAGTCTTGCTTGTTGAGTGGAAGTTTTTTTTGTTTTTTGTTTTTTTTTTTGCAGCTGCAAATGATTTGGTCTACCAGCGCCAAATTTTTTACTTTTAAATAACTCAAATGCACGTGTGATTTGATATAAACAAACAACTTATGGAAAAAGCATTAATTGCAAT